GTGTAGTGCTTATTGATTTGGTGGGATTTTCTGTTATCCGCTTGCAAAAATTTTCAATAAATGTATCCAAGAAGGTGTTTACCCTGAAGAACTCAAAATTAGTAAAACTGTGCCAATCTTTAAAAGTGGAGATAAAACATCACCATCAAATTACAGACCAATTTCTTTGATCCCTGTCTTCTCCAAGATCCTTAACACGTTAATCGCCATGACACCCTACATTTGGGTTTCAGAGCTAGTGGTCAACCAGGGTCTGAAACCTGTCGTAGGGTGTCACCATGCGCGTACACTTTAAAGCCTGTGACCCGGCTCTTGGGCTTCAAATAACATTGCAATATATGGAGTTTTTCTCAGAGGGGCCTAGGGGACCCTACTAACGTTTGAGCCTAGGATTTTTTGTCATATTTTTCTGTAGAACCACATTTTATTGATTGTAGGTAAAGGCATGGATTACCAGAACAAAATTATTTATCTATGATAAACCAAAATAACGTATAAACTAAATGCTTACTCTATATATTTGTCACAATCAAAAAACAGGACAGACAATAGAAAAATTTACACTGTATGTAAGAAAATCTTGACTCTGGTCCTTTGCTTTGAGCTACTTTTCTGCCTTGTTCAGCACTCAATTTTTCGTAGCTGGACACACATTTTCTACTATCTAATATTCATGCACGTAGTAAACAAGCTTAGGCTTGTATCTTTGAACACCGCTAGTTGGGTTTCGGGGCTCACACCTAGAAGGGGCCCCGAAACCCAAAAGCCGGGTTTCATTTTCAAAGTAATATTTTCGGTTGTTTTTAGGTAACATATGGAAAAAAATACAAATATATGCGATTATTGTGTATTATTCATCAAATGAAGAAATAATTTTATCTGGGCCTGTCAAAACTTTTTTTTAGGTTCCATTTGGGCAATTAACGTGTTTAGATTCTCTTGAAGGACCAACTTTACAGGTAGTGAGGGAAACAACTTATTCATAGAGGAGCAGTTTGGGTTTAGAAAGGGCAGAACCACCACTGGGGCAATACTAAAGCTCTGTGATTTCATAGCTGGGGGCTTTGAGGAGGGGCAGATTGTGTCCACCACCTTCTGTAACCTCTCCAAAGCCTGTGTATCACATTATATCCTAATGGAAAAATTAAAATACTACAGGCTCTGTGAATTCAGCGTGAAACTGATATTTGGGTACCTCTCGGGATGTAGGCAGATCATGGAGATGGAGGGTAGGCGCTCAGAGGAGAGAGTCATGAGGCAAAGTGTGGTTCAGGGATCGGTACTGGGCCCACTGTTGTTCCTTATATACATAAATAACCTTGCAGCTGCCCTGTCCGAATGCCAGGTTGTTATCTATGCGGACGATAATGGACTCTCCATAAAAGCCAAAACACTGGACGTTGTCAAAATGCAGATGACAAGACATGTTGAAACTGCTGTTGACTCGTTCAACTCCAATCCACTGAATGTCAACCAAAGGAAAACAGAAAACATGATCTTCTCTCTCAAGAAAACTACAATTCAAGACAACCCAGAAAAAATCAAATTTTTAGGAGTTACATTGGACGCGAAGCTGACTTTTGAGCAGCATGTCAACTTATTTCAAAAAAACTTTGTTCCGCAATTTATGTTCGTCGTAATATATCGAAAATTCTAGACAAAGAAACATCAAAAATGGCATATTATGGTCTATTTCATTCAGTGAGCGCCTATGGAATACTAGCATGGGGACACTCATGTCATGCCCCTTGCATCTTCGGTCTGCAGAGAAGAGCAGTTAGAATTGCAGGCATCAAATACAATGATGATGTCAAACCATCCTTTAGGGACCTAAAAATATCAACTCTTCCAGCACGATATATCAGAGTCCCTAGTCCCTACTATATATATTTATGAAAACTCTTCAAACTACAATAGTGCTGAAGAGGTTCATAATTATAATTACAACACACTCCAATGTTATAACGTGCAGATTGATTTTTCACACTTAGAAACCTCCTGCCCCCTACAATACAAAACATTCGAATAAAACCATTTAAAAACAAAATCAAGCAATTCTTGTTAAGTAAGTGCTTTTATTCAATAGAACAATTTTTGCAATATCAGGTCACAGATTTGGATTTTTAACTAGTTTTAAAGTTTTTTAACCATAGTTACTTAGTACTGTCCTTTTATAAAGAATGTTTGGAAAATTTCATACAGATGTGATATACCCGTTAAGTGATATAGTATTTTAATAATTGTAATTGTAAATGATTGAAACCTAGATTTAAGATTTTGATAACACTATGAAACTCTGTTTTAAGTCTGAAATATCCTATATATCTATACAAGCAATGATTTTTCCATACATTCACATAGGGCGCTGGTCAGACTGATTAGTCTGGAGTTTTATGTATTAATATTTCATTTCTCAATGGCGTTTTTCCGGCTTGCCTAAAGAGGGCCGTAGTTGTCCCTATATTTAAGGGTGGTGATCAAAACGAAACTCATAATTACAGGCCTATAGCTTTACTTTCTATTTTGTCTAAAGTAATTGAAAAACTTGTGAAAACAAGAATTAATTTATTTTTAGCGAAGCACAAAACTTTGAATTTTCAGCAATTTGGATTCCAGGCAAACAAAAGCACAAATGACGCAATATTTTCATTCCTGGAAGAGCTTTACAAGAGCCTTAATAACAAACAGGTGGCTGCATCAGTATTTTGTGACATATCGAAAGCCTTCGACTGTGTAGATCACAGGATTCTACTTGGTAAATTAGAGAATTATGGCTTCAGAGGTGTAGCTCTAGAGTGGTTTAAGTCATATCTTTCTGATAGAGTTCAGACAGTATTATTAAAGGGACAGTCGTCAGAACAACACACATTAAATGCTGGAGTTCCTCAGGGATCTGTGTTGGGTCCTACACTTTTTCTCATTTATATTAATGATTTGGCATATATTGATATCAGGGGAAAGTTTACACTCTTTGCCGACGATGCCACCATTCTATGGCAGAATGACAGTGAAAAACAGCTTTATGAAATAATTTGTATCGACATAAAAAAAAATCAAGGCTTGGTGCGATGTAAATAGACTATGTCTTAATATAAATAAAACTAACATTATGTCCTTTGGATGTAACATAGATGACATTTATTTAAATGATCGTCTACTAAGTGGGGTTAACGAGAACAAATTTTTGGGAATTCTTATTGATGTGAGACTTAAATTTGAATCACATATTCTTAATCTAAAGAGTAAGTTAGCTTCGAACTGTTACGCAATAAGAGTCATTTCGAATGAACTTACGACAGACATAGCTAGAACGGCATATTTTTCTTTAGTGGAATCCCATCTGAGATACGGAATCTGTTACTGGGGAAATTGTACCAAGCAATTGTTTAATAGCGTGTTTCTGCTACAAAAAAGAGCCATAAGGTACACTTTTAAAGCCAATGTTCGTGATACTTGTAAACCACTGTTTATTAAATCTAATATTTTAACACTTGCCTCACTTTTTGTACTGGAAACAGCTTGTATGGCGTATAAAAAGTTTAAACCCCTAAATAGAGTTGGGCACGCATATAACACTAGAAATTTAGACCAACTCTCTCTGCCGATACCTGTATCATCCCAAGTAAAAAACTCGATTGTATACAGGGGAAAAAAGATTTTCAATCATTTACCAAGTCATGTAAAATCACTGCCCACAATGTCTAAATTTAGAAAAGAGGTGAAAAGAATATTGTTGCAGAGAGCCTATTATGATATTGACGAATTTTTTTCTACTAGTTTTTAATTTATGTTAGTAATTGTCATTTTACCGCGCGTGAATTAATTTTATTTTGTTTTAGTTTCGATTAGGTAGATATTTTGTTTGTGACGAGTGTTTAAAATGTTTATGTCTTATACACCAAAACTATTGTTAAGAGCTTTTTCCTTTCTTTTATATTTAATTTACAGAAATTTTTCAATGTTTGCTTTGTGAACAAATATCTTGTATATTTCTTTTTACACAATAAAGCACGATTTTGATTTGATTTGATTTTTTCTACTAGTTTTTCGTTACCGTTTTTAAGTATAGGTATAACAACTGCTTTTTCCCAAGGTTCTGGAAAATCTCCTATCGATATTATGTCATTTATAAGTGCTGCCAGAGGCCCCTTTAGAATGTGCAAACAATTTTTAAGAAATCTAGGAGGAATCTTATCAAGTCCAAGGCTGAAGTTGACCCTTAGGGACTTAATGGCGATTTCTACTTTAAATGTATACTGTTGATTTCTGTTCTGGAGTAGGATTCAGCTGTAAGTGTTGGTTTAATATCTATACGGCTGAGTTTAGTAAAACCACTCTGGAATGGCTGTGCAAAACACTCTACAACCCCATTCAAATGGGACTAGAGTTGCTTTGTCAAGAATTCTGATGTGGGTGTGTTTAGAGTTAAGGTTAGAATTAAGATAGGAAAAGAACAGATTTTGTTTATATTGTTTTCTTCTCGGTTTTCTTACTGTGATTGTACAACTTTTGACCCCATTAATATTTTGTTGCTGGAATTGTAATTTTCTCAAGTATTGTTGTCAGCTTGTTCATTATCTTTAAACGAGGATTTTGATTAATAAGTGAAACATTGCAGAAAATGACCAAAAAATGCAATTTTACACATTTTGAACTTTTTTCATAGGAAAAAGACAAAAGATAGCACTTTTAAGAAAAATTTGGAACATTTTAAGGTTTTATAATGCAATTTTGAGTTATTGAAAATATGGGAAAGTGTATGTGTATGACTATGAGATTCAATTTATCTTTATTTATGAAATGCGAATTTGAAGATAATAGTTTGGATTACATACAAATCTTGATACAAATATAAGGAATTGTATATTTATTTGTAATTGTGACACTGCTTACATTGACTTTGTTTATAATAAAACAATACAAAACTATATACACAATTATCATTTTGTTATCGTTCCCCCATAATTTCCTACCAAAGACAACCAAAAATATAATCTTACCATAAGTTGTATGTGCTGGTCGTAATTCCGGATTTTCCCTCAAGGCCCTCAGTCTCCGTTTAGCACTCCAATTTCGTTCTTTGTACGTAGTACAGTATGTGGCACTCATTTTAGAGCAGAAATTTTGAATATACAAAACAACCTGAAAACCAAGGAAAACTTTTCATTACACAACTGTAAAATTATTTGACCTGTAATGGAACTCTCTATAGTGAAAATTGGAGCAGAATGAAAATACACAATTAATTATCCATCCATATATACCTACACTACACACAAAAGTTTGGGTTTTATATTATGACCTCGCCTCATTCAGCTAGATTTAAATTTCGCTTACCTATATGAAGTTTTTGTTTTGAATTTATATTTGCACAAGCATAATTAGAATATTTATAATAATTAATCACATCCCCCAAAAAATTCTATTATTTAGCAAGCTGTGAGCTTGTGCGATGTGATTTTTGTCCTGCACAACAAGGGCGGAGTGCGAAATAAGAATATGACTACTCTAAAAGAGAAATAGTAATATGGGAATTGGCAGGTTAGAAAGAGATAAAACATGTTCCAGGTAGTTGGAGTAAGGAAATCTTTTTGAATTGGTTAATTAAAGTGCCCGTTGCCAACCTCATTGTCAGCTGTCGAAAATTATGAATAGTATTTTGATTATTTGTTGTTAATTTGATTATATTTTAATTGAATATTGAAGCTTTGGACTAAGTTAATTAATTTATGTGTTTTGGTTATTTATTAACTTGAAAATTGCGTTGATTTATTGAAAATTCTATTGAAATTTAGGGTTTTTATTTTTTAAGGTTGGCAGCAATTGTACGTCAAAGAGTCCGTCAACCAATGAAATGGATTTTAGGAGCATTTACCTTCAGAAAATTGTTCCCTTATGTGACATGGCGTCTGATAGGAAAGTCTGTTTCTAGATCGGTTTTATAAAGTATTTATTTGATTTTATGACATCAAATTGGGCGAAGGCTTATTGTAAAAGCCGCAAACATTTTCTAGATTTTTGCATTGATGGTAATGCATGCAAGGAAAACGCAACGGATGAGCGATGGGTATGCATTTTCTTCGAAAATTTATTGACATACAGTTTTCGAGGCGACTATACAAATTGGCCTCGAAAATCGACGTTTTTGTTCATAATCTTATACGTTTTCTTATTATTTTTCTATGTAGGTACTTCGAGAAGCACCAAACCCATCCCTATCAGGTAAATATAACGATCAAAGGAAGGGCCTTTGGCAAGACCCATCTAGGATTTCCATGACAATAGTTTTTCCTAGGAACTCATTAACGGGTTCATCTTGGTATATTTACAAAGGAAATCAATTTCTAATAGGGTTTATATGTTAAAAAACACTTGAAAAAGCGAAAGGGCGCCAAAAAACATTTCAGTAAATAATCAGACAAAAGGTCTTTTTCCCTTGAAAATTTTTAGGTTCCTGCAATATTTTAACCCTCCTTGTCCCTGGAAATTGTAAAACTTGACCGATTTTCTTTATAAATTTTATAATGTTTTTACATAAAAATATAAAAATAAACATGGCTGACATGTGGGAGTTAACCTAGATTTTTTCACATTATTTACAAAATTGAAAAGTAGGTACATACACCTAATTTCAAGTACAACTATTTATGTATTATTTTAAGTAATTGAAACTTTTCTCAATCAAAAAATCTAAGTCCTTTGCTATCGGTAAACAATAATTATTTCTTGTTAAACATCTCTAGACTTTTCTGAACCACAACAAATTTAAAGGTATGTAAAACGTGCTCTTGTACTTACCAAATTTGTTCATTTACCAAAACTCACTATGATATTTCTGGGATTGTCACCAATACTTCTAGACACACTCACTGATCAAAATCTTGAAGAACTTTAAAGGGGTTAACTTTAATTCTTTGTCCTTTAGTTAAAATTCTACCTGTTTCCTGAGTTAATTTGTTTATAGTACCTATTTCACATAATTTGTAGATTCTCTTAATACCTACCATAGTTAACCATGGACAGGTAGAAAAAATATACCTTATTATCCAAAAATTTATTAGTTCTTATATTATATTTTTCTTCTGTTTCTCAGTGAGGTTTTAAATCAGGGAATCAAATCTTGGGCCAGGACAATTAGGTACTATTTAGGTAAATTATTTCACTGGGGACTTTATATGCTGAAGCTGGCAATAGCAAAAAGTTTTCAGTTTTCAGAAGCTTATTGATATTCTTTATCTACTGCTGAAAACAATTTTAGTACTCTAGAAACTAAGAATTAACTAAAAGAGCTTATGGTTAGTAAAACTCACTCATTACATTGTAAATTCTTGTATATTTACCAATAAATTATTACTTGCACAATATTTCAGAATTCAAAGTATTCATCATCAAAAAGCTACGGTCCAAACAATGAAAGGTACGAAAAATTCCGCAACTCCCCCAATGGCACCTACAGATCAGACAGTCCGGAAACGCAATCGCCTAGAGACAGGGAACGTCCTTACCAATCGAAGGGTTCCTATTTACAGAAAATGCGCGAAAAGGAGAGAGAGAATAGAGACTATAAAATGTCGCGGGACAAGTATTTGGACTTGTCCAGATCGCCCAAAGACAAAAGGAGTCGGGACTCGGACCATAGAACCAATAATAGCGATAGGAATGATGACAAGAGCATTTTGCATCCCTTAAAAGCCGGGCAGTTATCTTCCAGGGATCGAAAACCTATGCACAACAATTGTGTGGATAAGAGAGACGACAGAGACAGAGTGCTGAAAGTTGGTGACTGGTCGGAACATGTCAGTTCTTCAGGCAAAAAGTATTATTACAATTGCAAGACCGAAGTGTCACAATGGGAAAAACCTAGAGAATGGATTGAGAGGGAAAGGGACCGAGACAGGTTCAGAGGAAGAGACAGGGAAAGAGATGACAGGTATAGGGACAGTTCCAGTAGATCAAGTATGCGTAAGTTTTGTCACAATTGAATTTATTTATTACTTATGTGAAAAAATTTTAGGTCATGAAAAACATTCCAACTCTAGGGGCTCAAATGGCAGTGGCAGCAGTAAAGACACTACGCGACATTGGAGCAATAACAGTAGCTCGAATAGGGAAGCCCCAGAAGGGTCCAATAAGGAATCTATATCTGATTGGTAAGAATTTGTACTAAATTATAACAGACAAAAATTGTCCACATATAGTAAATGGTTCTCTACAATAAATGTGAATATTCCTTTTCTTAACAAAGAATCTAAAGCAGATGACCAATAACAGTCTTTCAAATAATATACTACAATAATTAAAATATTAATAACAAACTCCTCCAGGGCTTGACAATCATACAATCGAGTTAAAATCACTTGCAAAAGTATGTCATTGAGTGTAGGACTATTCCAAGTAAAATTCTTTGTTTTATTGGATGTTTCAAAAGTTGATGATAAAAGAAACTTGATGTGCAGAATCTGACTCTAAAATGCGCATAATTTCTAAACATTAAAGAATATTTGTTTTGCTTCTCCTTTTTGACAACCTCTTGATCAGAGTGAGGTGGTCATTAATTTAAAATGGAAGGTATTTTTTTAACACACAAATTGATTTTCTTCAACAATGTATCTACTACAGAGCTCTCAGGTACTTCAAGAAAAATACTGGACATTGTAATTACGATTTCTGATCATTTTAAAGTTACAGGTCACATAGAGCAGTTTGAGAAGCTCATTTTGCACCCTGATTGAGCTGAAATTCAACTGAGATAAATAAAAATCCTGTTCCAGGGTCTTCTAGAGTAGTAACTCCAATTTCTGACAATTCTAGTGGTAAATTTGAGCTATGACAGTTTGGAACGTCAATTTTGGCCCTCACTACGATTTTTGATCATTTTAAAGTTACAGTTCAAATAGAGCAGTTTTATTAAACTCATTTTGCACCATGATTGAGCTGAAATTCAACTGAGATGAATAAAAATTCTGTTCCAGGGTCTTCTAGAGTAGTTACTCCAATTTCTGACAATCTAGTGTTAAATTTGAGCTATGGGAGTTTGAAACGTCTATTTTGGCCCTCAAATTACGATTTTTGATCATTTTAAAGTTACAGTCCAAATAGAGCAGTGTGATTAAGCTCATTTTCCACTCTGATTGAGCTGAAAATCCACTGAGATGAATAAGAATCCTGTTCCAGGGTGTTCTAGAGTAGTAACTCCAATTTCTGGCGATTCTAGTGTTAAATTTGAACTATGGCAGCTTGAAACGTCAATTTTGCCTTCCAAATTACGATTTCTGATCATTTTTAAGTTACAGTTTACATTGAGCAGTTTGAGAAGCTCATTTTACACCCTGATTGAGTTGAAATTCAACTGACATGAAAAAAAATCCTGTTCCAGGGTCTTCTAGAGTAGTAATTCCAATTTCTGACAATTCTAGTCTTAAATTTGAACTATGGCAGTTTAAAATGTCTATTTTGGTTACACTTTACATAGAGCAGTTTGAGAAGCTCATTTTGCACTCTGCCCTAGATAACATTATGTGTCTACACTGCATAATATGGATCTAAAATATTGGATGTTGCTTTAATTTCACTAGGATTTTCATCTGAATCAGAGACATCTTCAGTTAGGGTTTCACTCGACAAAATTATTTCTGGTTCTGATTTAGATGTGCTATCGTCTCTGCTTGTCGCCCTGCCTAATATTTATTCTATTTTCCCTTTTCAAGTTCTCATTGCCTTGAATTCCCCATTTATTCTGTGTCTTCTTTTGGCAAGTCGGATTCGAGAGAGGATTGAAGATTTATGTTTTCATTTTTATGATGTACAACATTGTCATACTCTTCATCTCGTTCTTCTTCTTCTTCAAGTTCTAAACTGTTCGTAGTCTCCGGTTCAGTTATTGGCTCAGTTATTAGAGACTCATTGGGATATCAAATTCATTTCAAATTGTCTAGCACTCAATATTGCCTAAAACTTAGTCTCGAAGGCAAATCACAACTGACCGGTACGTTGTATCGTTTGAAATTTATGATATGTGATTTCTGAGCAGATGATATTCCCAGCGATTACCACATGATTCTCAGCGATTGCAAATGGATTCCTATGTGATTCCCATGGAGTCTTAGAGGAGATTCCTAGCGATTCCCAGGTTATTCCTAGGGATTCTCAAGTGATTTCCATGTGTCCTAGTTCCTTATATCAATGACGAGGCTTTCTTAATGCAATTTTAAACTTGAATAGCACAAAAATAGCTGAATCAAATACAGTAGTGTCGCGATAATCTAGATCAATTAAAACCAGACCAATCCGGATTATCGAATTATTCGGATTACTAAAGCATTTTACAGTCCGCTTTTAAAACTATTTTAAAAATATATCATGCTATATTTATTTGAAAAACAAGACAAATGAAAAAAATAATTCTATATACAGTGCATATACATAAGTGTAAAAATAACTAGTCAATATTGTTCCAACTTTCGTTTACATTATTTTCATCATTTGAATTTTGTCCACCTTCTTCTACATTTTTCTGCACCGCTTGGAAGAAGTCGGTGATTTTACTTTGATGATTGCCGTGCTGTTGTTTTTCAAAAGCAATTTCTTTAAAGGGCCCCATACACTACGATGAAACACGACGGTTTTAATCGCCACGATGAAACACGTCGTTCCAGAACCGAAGTGTGTGGTAGAAAACCGTCGTGTTTTTCTACCACACACTTCGGTTTTGGAACGACGTGTTTCATCGCGGCGATGAAAACCGTCGAGAATGAAAGTAGTGTATGGGGCCCTTAAAGGGCTCCATACACTACGATGAAACACGACGGTTTTCATCGTCACGATGAAACACATCGTTCTAAAACCGAAGTATGTAATAGAAAAACACGACGGTTTTCTACCACACACTTCGGTTCTGGAACGACGTGTTTCATCGTGGCGATGAAAACCGTCGTGTTTTATCGTAGTCTGTGGGGCCCTGTAGAAAACCGTCGTGTTTTTCTATTACACACTTCGGTTTTAGAACGACGTGTTTCATCGTGGCGGTGAAAACTATTGATATTTAAATTTGAAAGTTTTATAATTTTTTTTTTGCTCTACAACATGGCATCTTTAAATTTTGAATCTGCCGTTTCGTGATTGAGCTACCATCATCAACTTCATTTTTTTTAATACAGACCTGGATTTTTTATGTCATTTTTAAAAAGGGAATTAAGGGCACTTTCTAAAAATGTCATAAAAAATCCAGGTCTGTATTTAAAAAAATGAAGTTGATGATGGTACTTCGATTACGAAACGTTGAATTCAAAATTTGAAGATGCTATGTTGTAGAGGGATTTTTTTTTTTAAAACTTTCAAATTTGAATTGTGTCTCGAATATCAATAGTTTTCGAAATAATTGATGAAATAATTTTGCTCGTTTTTTGGAAATCACCCTGTATTTCATAAACTAAAAAGATTCTGGCAACACTGTAAACAATTCTGGAATGGGCAGCAAAAAGGGCAACTTTTTTCTAATTTAACCGACCTTGCAGCTCTTACCGTTTCGGATATAGCAATGGTGGTATCACTTAAAATATACACCCTGTATAAAAGTTAAATTTTCTAGTGGTTCTGGTAAATCCCTATTTACTTTGATTTACAATTTTTTTGCTTCATAAGCGAGGTATATGCTGTCTAAATATAAGGAACAACCCGTAGGTACATCAGAAGTACTCCAAGTACTATAAAAGTATTTTGTGTCCAATTAAAGTGATGCAAGTACTTCAAAAGTGTACTTGAAGTACTTTATATTTTCATATATTTAAAGTAACACAGACATTAGAGGCTGCTTATTGGGTGGTTGGTTAATTGTTAATTGTTGGTTATTTGTGATTTGGGTTATGCATAAAACACGAGCATATGCTTTTGCTTAAGTTTTTTGAGATAAACATATTCAGCTTTGATGCAGCAAAAAGAGACGGAGGTAGACTAAAAGCATTTACTACACTTTATTCATACTACTAACTACTGACTTATAATGTATTTGAAGTACAAGTTCTTGAAATACTTCAATTGTATTTCAAGTTAACTGAAAAATTCCAGTACTTACTTTTATTAAATACTTGGTAATTGTATACATTTTAGAAAAAAATGTACTTTGTACTTCAATTACTACTACAAAACTTTGAGTACTGTGTACTGGTACTCCAAGTACTTTTGTAATGTACATACTTGTCAAATAAGAGTAATTCTTGCACGTTTATCATGAAACAACTTCTGAGTTCCTGTTGTAGTTATGGAGATCATACTTTCACTACTTTGTACAGAACTTTTTTAAGTTTAGTAACGAAATTTTCATGTTATAAATGATTTGACGTTTGTCCCCCTGTTTGAGCAATCTGATCAAGTTCCATTTCAACTCCCCATACTCAATTTCAATTCCTTGTTTAAGATTCTTCTTTACAGAGATTCTTTTAATGAGGAATTCTACATTCTCAGCCTCGTTCTCAGCCAATTAGTAGAAAATAATGGGTCTTCAGTGAGCTCTATAAATAGGATTTATTATAAATGTATTGAGAACTTTTAATTGTCCTACATCACCTACCAAGATCAAGATATTAAGAACTTAGAATGTTTAACATATTTTGAAGATATACAGTCAACATCTTATGGGCCAATTTTAATGCAATAGAATGAAATGCCTCGAAAAAGTCTATAGGATTCGCTGTTCCACCTCCAGCATGGAGCGCTGGGAATGCTGGGGGTCGAGCTGGGGGTGGTACAGGGGAAATCGATTTCGTTCTAAATCGAGAACGAAAACGATTTCCCCTTTTTCTAGATATTTTATTCCATTGTATTAAAATTCGCGTATAAGATATTCCCTTGCCAGACTGGTATATCTATTGTATGCCATTGATATTCTGTCCAAGTTGGCAAGATATGCTTCAAACTTTAAAGATTGCTAGGCCCTCTATATGGGACAGCCAAGGAACAATATAAAGGGTGAGTGAATCAAGGGCAGTTTGGATATAGACCAATACTTGGCAGTAAGTTGCATATTTATGCTGTATTTGAGGATGGTCCTGATTTATTTGCCTTTATGGGTATTTGATACTTTCTACCAAATTTTAGAGACTGGAACATTAAAATTTTGAACCCTCAATGGCTATTTGCATGGCTATAACTTAGGGGATGCTTGAGCTTCAATTGTGACTTGTTTATACGAGAGTCACATTCAAAGCTCCACTTTGTAGGCATATCCCTTGTGGTAGCACAAATATATGCATAACAATACTGAAGAAAATCACCAATAGTACCAGCATCAAATGTCAACTCTAATCTTAACTCTAAAGACACCTACTTTAGTATTGTTGACAAAGCCACTCTAGTCCTATTTGAATCTGACCAGGAGGTTGCAGAATGTTTTGCACAGCAATTCCAGAGTGTTTTTACTAAACCCAGCCCTACAGATATCAGACCAACACTTCCAGTTAAATCCTACTCCAGAACACTATAAATTTCACCTCAGAAAAAATAGAAATCTCCATTAAATCCCTGAGGGTGATTTCCAGCCCTGGACTTGACGAGATCCTTCCTATATTATTGTTTGCACACTCTAAAGGGGCATATGGCAGCACTTATGAATGACATAATATCTACAAGAGATTTTCCACAACCTTGGAATTCACTAATCTACCTCATTCAAAAATCTATCTGAAGAAATAGTTCTAAAGCTCTACAAAGAGTATGAAAGACTATTGGGTCAATTCTGTGCACATCTGTAAGCAAATCTATAAATTTCTATAAGCCTTATGGACAATTTGCAATCCTGCACTTCCTGTAGATTACAGAATATCTTATAGGATCGTACATATCTCTGATCGGGTGTTTTGCAGTGTCTATAAGCTTATAGAAATTCATAGATTTGCTTACAGATGTGCACAGAATTGACCCCTAAAGCTCGAATATGCCTTTTTCATCTGGAACCCATATTACGTCAAATACATTGAATTGATTGAAAGAGTACAGCGCTGTATTACAAGGATATCCAATGAACTCAAAGAGTAACCCCCAAGAGAGTTTTAAGATATCAGAGAGATCATCATAATTTATAAGAGTCATAACTAATATTTAGTTTGTACGCAATAATAGTAAGAATCTTCTTTGTACCCTCTCCAATTGGTATTTTTTCCTATTTTTACTCTGTTTTGGTCCTGAAAGGTGGTCAAACCCACCTTGAAAAAGCTCCATGAGACCTTATACTTTCAAGTTTTTCTTCTACAACTCTGGAAGAAAACTCTGTCAAATGCCTTGGAGAAATTGGCCTATTATCATGTCTAGCTGATAAAACCATGTGGTTCTGTTCTGGTATAAATTATGTTTTCAATTCTAGAAAATATAAACATTTTTGAAATTGTTACAGGCCAATTTTTAAATGTTGTAATTCTCACCACTCAAACAGGGATACCATCTGGACCTGTTCCTAAGTTATCTTTCAGGGAAATTTTACTATGTATATCCATGACTTTAATAGACAAATTATTAGAGCATTACTGTAATAATTTTTTCTATAAATGCTAATTTGCCAATTATTTCAGGGCTTCGAGTTCAAGAAGACATTCAAATCCTGACAGTTCAGTGCAATCGGTAGCTTCATCAGCCGCCCAAGATATGGATATATCACCAGGAGATAGTACACCCACCTCTGAGGTATCTTATGGCACAAGCTCCACACACCAAACACCAATGGTTGTGGAACAACCAGTTATGGGTCCAGTGCTGTTGGCCAACGCCCTACCGCGGTTATCATCGCATCCGACGAGTACACCCTCAGCCACGCCCATCCTTCTAACGCCACCCAGTTTACTATCGACACCTAGTTTATTTACCATGGCGTCGCCGCTAATAAATACTACTAGCATGAGTAGCGGTTCGCCTACCCAAATTGTGTATATGGCGTCTCAGGGTAGTATAAATGCACCCGGCCCACCGCAAGGAGAAATTAAGAAACCCGAATCTTTGACTATAGATACAAGCCAGGCTATGTCGGTCGATGGACCACCTACGCCTACCCATTCAGAAGTACCTGATTGTGCTAAAGGTAACTATACTTATCAATATTAAAATAAACTTCATTAAATCACTTTGCATTTGGTACAAACAGAGTTATTGTTTGAATCTAGATTTCTTAGATACATATTAAGGATTAATTCCTATCATTTGATTCTTGATGGGGTTCTTGTTTCCAATAACATTTTTCTAAGCAAAAAGTATTATTTCTGGGGTAAGATGGTTTGGTATTACCAAAGTTGATGGCAAAAGGAACTTGAATATTCCTCTCAAAGATTCATTTTCACTAACCAATGAATTCAACATTGGGTGGTATGAATAAAAACGGAGTACCTACTACTACTACTACAAGTATTAGTATAATTTAATAATTATAATAAATTGTTTATTTTGCAAATACAAGGTTTACAAAAAAGGGGTTTTTTACAATTTCTAAAAAATTGGTTGACCATAATGTCAATTTGAAAGTACTTAAGCATACAAAAATATACATCACTAAAAACTTGGAAGAAAGAAAAGAAAAGAAAAATCTTAAAGTACAGCAAAATCATCAAGACTTTTGGTTACTATATGGTTTCTCTTAAAGCCTTGATATCCGCTGTTAGCTTATTGTAAATGTTGGCTGCTTTGTAGGAAAAATTGTTTTTAAAAAGTTAGGAACTATTGAAGGGGATTGTTAAAGAAGCTGGTGCATGTCTAAGTTTCCTCGCATGGGCCATATTTCGGAATTCCATCTCTTCATACAAATATCTGGGTTGCTTAGCCAAAATCACCTTGTGTATGAAAATGCATAGATGCACCCATCTTGTTTCATTCATGCTTAGCTACTGAATGTCTTTCAAGTATGGAGAAATATGGTTTCTTTGTGGGATATGTAATGTGAAACCGCAAGAATTCTGAATTTTTGTAGCCTCCTTGCTTCTTCAGCACATAAACAGATACCATAATCAGTGTCACAGTAGTCCAATTTGGAGAGTACTAAAGTAGAAAGTTCTACAGTCTTAACTTTGCACTTTGGGGAAGATAGTTTTTTGAATTATAAAGTCGTTTTGATGTGAGAAAAAAAGATCTACTTAGGGACGTCACTTGTTTTGCATAGTTCAGTTTTTTGTCCATGATAAGACCCAGGTTTCTAACATATTCACTAAATCTTAATGCTTCAGCGATCAAGGTAAGCTGACTAGCCAAGATTTCTTTCACATTCCTTCTACCTTCAAACACAATGGCATCAGTTTTAGACACATTAACTTTAAGACCGTTCATATTTGTCGCTTGGATTAAACTTACAAGATCGTGAAAAAAAGTGTAGATATTGCAAAAAGAAAGTCGCATTTCCGCTTGATTGTGTAGTTTACAAGTTGAGCTATCAACCAAGTTATGGGAAACAGGTAGGAGTAGTAACCAACGAAAATCTGGTTACTTGTTGTACTACGCGTACAGGAAGAGGGGTTAGATCTGAAGAAAAGCATTCAAAAACTGAGAAAATGAATGAGAAAAAGATGAAAACACTTATTCAAACCACGTTTAAAGGAATCTCTGACCCCTTTCCAGCAGTCACTCCACACAGAGATTGGCGAACTCAAACAGTCAGTCCAGTTTCTTTCAGACAGCTTTGATGAACCTAAGAATGCCATTAATGATCTCATAAATGAGGTGAAAGGTTTAAAAAAGGCAAACAGTCAGTTAAAAGAACTTATGAATATTCTTGAACACAGATTAAACACCATCGAGCAACTGGATAAAGCAAATATCCTAATTGTTGCAGGAATCCCAAAACAACAAGAGGAACCAAAGAAAATCGTAGAAAAAGTTTTAGGTAACATGTAAACTGAGACTACAGGAAGATGATTTACAAGAAGTTTACCAGATAAGTAGAAAGGATGATGCACCGATAGTAGTTAAGCTAAGGAATCAAACAGTAAAACAGGCAGTATTGAAACAGGTGAGACATATTAAAGGAATAAAAGTAAATGAATGTGGACTGTTGGTAGGAAGCGAAAATATTTGCTTCAATGAGGACCTGACACACAAAATCAGCTCCTGTTCAAGCAAGCCAGAGAATGCAAAAAGAAACATGGACTTTGTGCAGCATATGTTGCAAATGGCAAGATATATCTTGAGAAATCAGAAACTGATCGACCAACTAGAATCAGGAATGAGGAAGACTTAATACTGTGAGTCAGTCTTCACTGTGATAACAAAAACGAAACAAAAAAAAAACACTAAATCGCTAAAATGACTGTGTTTGAAAATCTGAACATCTTGTACATAAATATTGTTTAAGAAATAAACTAAGTGATTTAAATGATATATTACTAACTAGTAGGAAAACTGTCTATTGGATAGTGCTCACAGAAACCTGGATGTACCCAAATGAGCAAGATAGAATATACCTTTATACAGTACATGATTCCAGAAATACTCGAGGAGGAGGGTCAAGCATTTATATAAGAAATGAGTTGAGCTATATACAGAACGAGCAACGTGTACCAAAAATTGAGGACTGCAACATAGTATCTGTTTACTATACAAAACCTTACTGTCTATGCAGTATACAGAGCACCAAAAACAATCATGAAATATTTACGGCAGAATTAGATAAATTTCAAACAGCAAAGAAACCCTACCATCCTGATAGGTGACATGAATCTGGATCTGCTGAAAGACTTGCAAGCAGTTAAAACATATAAAAACACAATAGAAATGAATGGATTCCAACTACAAAAATGCAACAAGAACCACTGAACACTCAGCATCAATTCTGGATCATCATCACAACAAACAAGAATTTGCTGTGCAGCCTGAAGATGGAAGACAATGACATTTCCGACCACAAAGTTATTTTTATTCAGGTAAAGAAAGTCATATAAAAAAAACTTACCTGGATATGGATCATTGGAAAATTTGCTTTAAAGAAGAATTTACAAAAAGACACATCGATACCTTTGGAGAACTGACCATTGTAATAAATGATACTAAGAATACCTGTACAACACATCGAACACTGAAAATAAGAAATCAAAATTACTGGGTCACAAAAGAGTTTATTAAAAAACTCCAAGAAAAAGATAAACTTTATGTTAGGATGAAATGACGAATATACCACAAAAGAATTTAAGAGAGCCAGAAATGCACTAAATAATCTTCGGAAAACATTACACAGTATGCTGAAAGGGAATTTCAAGAAGCAGAAAGTGATCCGAAGAAAACATGGAAAGTCCTAAATGACCTGTGTAACAGAAATGTCAATAAGCAGAAAACCATTACAAAAATAACAAGAAGGGACGGAGCAGAGACAGAGAATAACTTTGAAATGGCTGAGAAATTTAATAACCATTTTGCAAGCATAGGATAAACCCTAGCATCACAGATACAACCAAATGCTAGTAAGAAATTTGAGGAAGAAGAAATAATGGAAAAACTAACACTGAAGACAACAAATCTTGAAGTAAAGTACACACTAAACGAACTAAAAAATCACTCTGCACCCGGCAAAGACAACATAGAAAAAAAAAGACTTAACTCTAGTTTTTGACACCATTGGATCAAAGATTGTTGAACTCATAAACAAAACATTGGAAAGTGGAATATATCCAGAAGAATTAAAAACAGCAAAATAGTGCCAATATACAAAAAAGGAGCCCATAATGATGTAAGCTACTACAGACCCATATCCCTACTAAGTATTTTCATCAAAATAATAGAGAAGATAATTAAAATAAGAATAAACAACTTGCAGCAAATTTCAAGTTTGATGAAAGGCAATATGGTTTTCAAGAAAACAGCAGTACCCTGGGAGCCACAGTTGATTTATTGGAACATATATCAAGTAAAATAGACAAAAATCCATATGTTGTGGCAGTGTTCATTGACTTGAAGAAAGCCTTAGACACACTACTTGACGTTGATCCACTGCTTCAAAAGCTCTATAAAATGGGTTGGGTTGTGTTTATGTTGGAGCTGTGATAAACGATAAAAGCAACGATACTAATGTAAAGTATCATTAGTATCGTTGCTTTTATCGTTTATCACAGCTCCAACATAATCACGGCCTTACAGGAGTATGCTATAATCTCCTGAAAACATATTCAACTTTAGAAAACATCATACAGTTGTAAATGGTGAAACTAGTGAAGAAAAAATTGTAAAAGTGGGGGTCGCACAGGGGTCAGTACTGGGACCGCTTCAGTACTTTTTATATGTGCACAGTTTAAAGCCTGTGGGGCTGAAATCTGACTATATTATGTTTGCTGATGACACTGTCCTAATGTACTCTGGAAAAAATAAATGTGAAATTGAAGAAATCATTAATGATGATCTTGGACTATACTATGATAGTGTATACAGTGTGACAAAAAAGTCGCGCATAATACCTGTAACTTTTCAATTACCTCGTATACGAAAAAGTAACCTTAATGAAAGTTGCTCAGTAAATTATTTCCTACATTTCTACCTCGACAAATTGTTTCTGTCACTTCTGGTTTGTTTGCTATACACTCCTGCCACAGCTCGGACACAGTAGCAACCAGAAGCAAGTTTCCCGTCAAGTGCAGTGACATGCGATTGGAATTTAAGGTCAACGTCAAGCTGAATTCCCAGAAATTTAGTATTTAGATTTAGAGAGGATTTGATGGAGAATTCGTCACAATCAATATCATCAACATTACATCGGAACCCAAGCACCCGAGTCTTACCAAAGTTAAAAAGCAGGCCATTTGCATCACACCAACACTTAATTGCCCTGATGTCCCCAGAAATCACCTGAACCAGCTCATCAGAACTTCCCCCGTGCCAAACAATTGTTGAATCATCCGCGAACGCAGTGAAGACTCCCGATATATCAAGGGAGAGAAGATCATTGATATAGATGAGGAATAATATTGGTCCCAGGACTGATCCCTTTGGAACCCCACGGACGATTTGCTGATCAGAAAAACATTTTCTATCCAGGGTGACACGCTGACTGCGATGTGAAAGATATGATTCGAACCACCTCGAGATCATACCCCTAAAGCTGTAGACCTCTAACTTCCTCAGAAGAATTCTGTGACTCACACAGTCAAAGGCCTTTGAGAAGTCACAGAAAACCCCCGCGGTAGCAAAGCCATTGTTGTAGTGCTTCAGGAGTTGTTCCAGAACGCGAAACATGCCATCATGGGTACTCTTCTTAGGAAGGAATCCAAATTTTTTGAGAAGATTCTCAACAACTTTGGATATTGTTGATAACAATGATATTGGGCGATAATTTGATGGCTCTTTTGTATCTCCGGCCTTAGGAATCGGTACTACCAATGCGTCCTTAAGACTAGGTGGAAAGATGCCCGATGAAAAGGACAGGCTGATTGCTTCCGATAGAATACTAAGGGTCTGCTCCGGAAGTTTCCTCAAGATTTTTATGAATATACCATCTGAACCGGCTGTGTTCTGTTTTCTAATGGATTTAAGAACAGATCCTACTTCATGGACATCGGTGGGAAAAAATGAAAAAGACTTGTTGATATGCAAGTTTCCGAGATAACTCAATGGATCAACATTCGAGTTGACGGCTGCAGTAAGGTTATCAGCGACAGTGCAGTAAAAGCTGTTTAAGTCTTCAAGATCAATGTCAATTTCTTGAGGTCTAAGGCTTTTTTTACCTGTTACCTCTTTCACGATGTTCCAGGTTTCCCTAAATTTATTAGCAGTATTGCTTAAACGATTAAAGTAGAATAAGTGTTTAGCAGTATGGATAGATTTCCTATACATTTTTCTATATTTGAGATAATAGTTCAAGATAAAAGGACTATCAGCAAAGTGTTTTCTTATGAGATTTGAAGATCTTAAGTTAGCTGCAGAAATCTTTAAGCCCTTTGTTATCCAATAATTTCGGTTACCCTGTTCACGAAGGGGCCTTAGGGGAAAAGATTTATCTATGACATTACTCAGAGTAAGATGGAATTTTTGAAGAGGATCTGCCCTAGAAAGGATGGATTGCCAAGGTATGTCGTTACAGGCTTGCTTAAAATGAGGGAATTTTTCCCTGCTGAATATTCAGCCTTGCTTCTTATGATTCTGAATAGGCTTAACTTTCAGGGGTGATGAAGCTATAATAGCACTGTGATCTGAGAGGCCAGGGTCAGTAAAAATACAATCAAGATCGGAATCAAGATTAGAGCAAATGTAGTCTATTGTAGTGGAGGTGGTGTCTGTTGTCCGCGTGGGTTCCTTAACATGCATTTGAAGATTGAAAGACTGAAGTAGGTTGAGCAGAAGAACGGTCGAATACCTCTCGAGATCACCAAAATTTATATTAAGGTCTCCCGCAACTATCAGTCTGGAACTTGGTGATATGTTTGAGAGAAGTATTCGAAATTTATCCAGAAAGCTCGAAACACAAGTGCCAGGGGAACGATAGATATAGAGATTATATGTATTCAGGGACCTTGAGAAAAGTAGAAAGAATTCAAATAATTTTTCAGACAATAAAAAGTCAAATTTATCGCAGTCGCAGAAGTCGGAGCTGGATGCAAATTCGAAACTTATCAAGATAGTGGTCCCAGCATTTTTAAAGGTTGTTCGACAAAACTTAGATAAGACGTAATAATTAGGGACATTGAAAGGTTCTCCCTCCCTAAGTCAATGTTCCGTAAGAAGGACGAGATGAGGGAGTTTTTTAGTTTCCAGAAAGACAAACAATTCATCGGCCTTGCCCCTTGCTGACTGAATGTTCAAAAGCATGAGCGTGACAATCGTAACATGTTCTAAACCATTTGCGGAGGGCCTCCTAACTGTGTTAGTTTCTCTCCTAAAAAAGAGCAGGCAAGAGTTGAGACTTGTGCCACTTCCGTTACAGCTGCTATTCAGCTCGCCAAACAGACTAAGAGGACGAGAGGTTGAGTTTTTGGATCTATTAAGAACTTGAGGAGACATGTCTGATGGCAAAGTGTTTGTTATGTTTGGATTATTTAAAGTCATGATGAGCTAAATCAATTTGCAAAGAATGTAGCTGAATTGATTCCGCAATACCAATAAGCCAGTTCCTAGCCTTGCATCCCCCATTTGTGTTGATATTGATGAAATCACAAAAGCTTTCCGATGTTCTATTGAATGCATTTAACACTTTTTCTGTGATATGTAGTCGCTGTTGCGGCTCTTTTTTTAAATGGGACATGCAAGAAATATGAAATTAGTATGTAAACATGCCTTCAGTTTTTCATAAATGCTACTAAATTTTGGTCTTTTTTTGTTCAAAAAATCATTTCAGCCCGCAACAACAACAACATAGTCACCAAAGTCGTAGTCCTCCGTAAATTGCTGCAAACCTGCCAAGATATTATCAAAATGTGCTCGCGGTTTGATGATGGATTCCATCTTCAGATATCTACAGTCCAGATGCGTGTCGATGTTACGGTCCAAGTTTCTACCATGTTCGTCAGATAAGATAAGAAGTTTCCCTGCATCTTTGGTCACAGAGGTCAGAGAGGTTGCTGTTCTTTGGTTTGGCAGTTTTTCTGATCGCTCAGTTCTCCATCCGTCACTCACTTCTTCAGGTCTGTCCGCAACCGAGTCCAATTCTTCCCTGAGGCTGTTTATATTAGTTGTTTGTTCAATATTTTGCTTTCCGAGTGCAATGATTTTAGATTTCATGTTTTGGTTCTACAGATGCAGGTCTTGCAATTATTCCTTTTTGCAGTCGCTCATACTTTTTTCCAGACTCGACCTGACATTATTAGCCTCTGAAAGTCTTACACGTAGGTTTTCAAACATTTTGAGAAGTTTGTTTATTTGACGATTGCATTTTCATTCGATTTCTTCTGCCTCATCATTCAAGACTTTTGTTCCGCGGTCGAGTTTTCCAATATGATTTTCCTGATGTTTCAAGTCATCTCGGAGTGAATGTATTTGGTTATTAGGTGCCTGTTTTTCAGTTGCCTCGTCAAGATCCTTCTGCTCGTAAACGGCATCCTTTAGAGAGGCTTCGTTTTTAAGCTATTTAACAAATTCCTCTAGAAAAGTTACTTCCTCGTCTTTTTGTTGCAATTTTTGTTCCATTTTAACCCCTAAATCGTTTCGGGTCAACATTTGTTAGTGACAAATCTTGCAGCAGATAATCTTGGATAAACATTGATTTCATTGTTTGACTCTTAACTTTAAATTTCATTTCCTTGATTCTTCTCCAACCTGGTCAATGATTTTTTGTGCTGTGCTGCCTCATTGTCTTCTTTCAAGTTTTTGTTTCCTTCCCTTAATCTACATAGTATTTACTTCAAAAAAAAGGATTCACCAATTTCCGGTAGTTTCGAAATATAGTATCTACTTCGTTTTAAAGTAAATACTATCGAGAATCTATTGACACTTGTAGTAGTAGCAGATACTTTGTTTTCATTCATACCATCCATTGAAACAAATCCATGTTTCAGTTGTTACAGCGCCAACGGGTAGTCCGCCAGCAGGAGGTTTACCTCCGATGCAGGGCGTGTCCAGTTCACTGCCAGCTTCGCTACGGCCTCAAGGTCCCACCATCACACCGACGTTGGCCAAAATGGCCAATTACCACAGGGACGATTTAGTGAACCACGTGCGAGGGTGGCCCGCCGATATTCTCGAAAAACCGATGCAGAAGCTGGCAGAAGAAACGTATTTTACGCATAGCATACAATGTTCCAAAGTCTCGGCGGATTTGAAGTCTGCAAGGTCCGTGGTAAGACTGACCGAGATTCAAGCGACGTTACAAGAACAAAGGTAATTTGTTATTGTTTTGATTATTGTTGTAACTAATTTATTGTCTCTTTTCAGAAAATTGTTTTTACGTCTACAGATAAAAGAGCTGGAAGAACTCAAGTCTCAAAATTCGTTCATGTCCGATGATCCTTAGTGTCACCGAAACTAGTCGATTAAAACCAATTCTATTTTTTTTCTGTGCTAAACGTTGCGTTTGTCTAGGGAATCGTCGTTTTATTGCAAGTTGTTTGTTTGTTTTTTGTTGGTGTACGTTGTAGGGCCGGACAGGTATTGTTGATGGGACGCAGTACACGAATTTTAATTTTTGGTCACCCCCCTGTGAGTATTATAGTACAATTTCCTAGAGCTATTGTCCATGAGCATCCAACGCCAAAAAAACAAAATGAACAATAAAGTTTTGTTTCTAAGGGGAATTATTCAGTGGTATAAAGATTTTTTGTTTTTTGACTAGACCCCAGAGATGGATTTAATTGAGATTGCAGTTTTGGATTTTTTTTTTATTTTGGATAATTCCCATTTAAAAAGAAACCAATTCCTGTTTAATTGTAAATTTATTATCTGTATATTTTTGGTAATTATTTATAACACTTTCGTAATTTTTTAGGTTGAAACACTGTTGTATGTATATATAGGTATAAATATTTTCTAACCTCAAGCTTGATAATTTTTGTCTTCACATTCATTATAGGATTTCTAGACTTGTCCGCCCTAAAGGAAAATAATCATTTATGCGGTGTAATAAATTATATTTTTTTAAAAATTGTCTCAAATTATTCATTCTCGTGACTCCTCTATTGTGGAAATTTTTTGTTCTCTGTATAGCTAACCAATTGAAGACTATCTGTGAACTTTGCAAGATTTGAGATTCTTGAAATTCAACTTTGTTCAAAGATTGACTGTTTCTTTAATTGTTGTACTATAAATAAATTTTAATTGCATTTTTTTTTCCAAGTAAAATTCCAATTTCTGTTAGGTTTTTTTTTTATTTCTTCTGTACTCTTTATGCATTTACTATTCAAGAATTCTTAAAAGTTCCCATTGCGTCGTCTCAAATATTGCATAAGTGAAAGTGAAGTGACTGTATTATATCGGTTTTATGTTTTAGATTTATAGGTAAATTAATAATTACAATATAGATTTATAGATTTTGTTACTGTGTATAATTTGGATTTTGCTACCTTCTACGGCGATTTTTCCAAAATTGATTGTTTTCCCCTTTTTTTTTTATATAGTAATTGTTTTATATATTTATTTGTCAAAAAGAAAATTGTATCACTTGGCATAATAAAATGTAACCGTTTTTTATTTCCCAAAAATCTTGTTAAAATAATTAATTTGTTTAGCAAGGTTCAGTTGAAAGATAAAATTATATTTAAATTAAATTTAAAAACATGAAAAGTTTTAATTATTTTCTATAATAAAGTCGCTTCTTACGTCAACATGTTCCACTTGCAGAAAGAGTCAAGAATAGGATCCTTGTTCTTCAACCCTCTTTAACATAAAATTCATCAGAATAGGCCAAAATTTTGTATAAATTAATATCGTCACAAACTCTCTGTGACGGGGGGGTGTAGGGTGGATAGATGGAGAGGAACTCGCTCAGGTTATTATAAAAATATGTACAGGGTGATTCATTAAGAATGGCACTCGGCCATATCTCGAAAACTATCCATCGTAGTCTTGTCGGAAAAAAAATATCCCATAAATATGGCCAAGAGAAAATGCTGGAAATATATTTCAGCTTTCTAAAATGACCGTAAGGGAGCGTAACCCAACTGTCAAAGTACAAAAATGGTTTTATTTTTTAAATTTCAAATGGAAACGTATCTCAAAAATGCTAGCAATAGATTTTTGATGAAATTTCACACAATTTTGATCCATGACTTTTTACCATAACTTATCGGATAAGATAGTTATGAGCTGTCAAATATTGCAACACAAGAAAGCGGATAACTTCAGAACGACTCAACAAATCTGGTCGATCTTAGGTTCGTTGGAAAGACAAGAGTCTGTTCTTTAACTTTGTTGTGAAAAATTCAAATTCTGGTTAGTAGGACTGACGCTATGGGTCAATATTTGAAAACAATTGAATGTTTCCAATTTTTCTTAAAATTTTCACATGGAATGGCATATTTAAGATATGTTAAATCGATTTTTGAGGATGTTTTACATAGTATTTCTTTATTATACCTTCCTACAAACGAATTCCAGAGAGTGTTAAAATTAATTTTATTAAAAATAATCAGTATTTATGAAAAAGCCCCCGTAAATTGAGCAGATACCAGTTAAGTAAGTCAGGCTGACATATTTTTGAAACTTCAAACGCTATTTTCTAAAGTCAAAATGCATTTCCCAAATGGAGAAGCACAGGACATCCTTGAGGTTCTGGGGGCTTCATTTGAAATGGACCTTTCTCATTTTACCTGTGCTGCGCGCGCAGCTTGTGGGTGACAGATAATAAAATTGTCAATTGAATGAACGCGGGAACGCGGTCTGACCCTGACGTTTTTAAAGCTAACCTCAATAATCAATCAATATTGCTGAAAATTATTACAAAAACTGTTTATTATACAATGGTTCAAATGTGTTGTGTGAGATCTTGTCAGAGTAAAGCCCGGGACACATCTATCATGCATTCTTCCGATCCGACTCCGATCATACAATCAGGGTCCTTATTCTTGGAACAGGGAACAGCGTTCCCAAGGAGAACGAGTGTTCCGCTGCTCCCCTGTTCCAAGAATAAGGACCTTGATTGTATGATCGGAGTCGGATCGGAAGAATGCATGATAGATGTGTCCCTTCCCTGGCTTAAGGCGAAAAAGAAGTCAAACCTTTATTTTCACAAGTTCCCAAGTAATCAAATTTTAAGAAAACAATGGTTACATGTTTATCGCGAATCTCACGATTTTTCCGGGATTGGTTCGTTTAACATCCGCAGGAATCAAATTTGTCTGCTCCAGATGAGAGTCTTCTGTGACATAATGCTTTGCATTTGCAGAGTATATGTTCGGCAGATTCTGATGCTTCTTTGCAGAAGCGGCAAAGGTCTGATTCAGCTTTACCCATCTTTTTCAGGTGGTAGCCAAGAGGGCAGTGGCCGGTGAGGAGACCCGTTATGATCCTGAAGTCTGGTTTGCTGAGTTCGAGTAGTTCCTATGCCTTTGTTGACTTTGGCGAGATAAATTGCTTCGCCTGTCTAAGTCCTGGAGTATTGTTCCAGTGGGAGGCCCGTTGTGCCTCTAACCATTTTTTGAGTTCGGTCCTTACATGGCATTTTGTCAGGCCAAAGAAGGGTTCTGGACCGAATGGTGACGCGGCGCCTTCTCTTGCAAGCCGGTTCGCTATTTCATTTCCTTCTATGTTTTGGTGCCCTGGTACCCATGCTAGATTGACTCTATTGCAGTTCGCCAGTTGCTTTAGAAGTTGCTGACAATACCAGACTAGTCTGGATTTAGTGACAAAGCTGTTTGAGCCTTAAGTGCTGCCTGACTGTCAGAATTGATGAAGATTCTTGCACCTCGTAGGTCCTTTCTGGCGCAGAGTTCTATTGCGTACGTTTTCGTTTGGAATATGGTGGGGTTTTTTCCTAAGGCTACCGATAGCCTGCATTTTGGGCAATATACGCCCACTCCGACCCCTTCTTCTGTTTCCGATTCATCTGTGTAATAGATGGATGAACCTTTTGGGAATTTATGTACGATCTTGTCACTTTTGCGGCCTTCTGCAGTCACACTAAAAACAAGATTAAATTCGTATCTGGGTGGCATGATGTCCATCGGTTTTGTTGGTGTACCAAGGCATTCTTTAATGATGCTCATATGTTCAACAAGGTCCCCTTCCTTTAGGTTTGGAGAACGTATAACCCTTGAGGCCCCCATGTAGGCCTCCCTCCTCACTGCAATGTACAGAGGGATTGATATCTAACATGACCTCTATAGCAGCGGTTGGACAGAGGTGTTCATGGCACCTATTATTCCAAGACATGCATAGCTTTGTACAACTGCCCTGTCTGCTGCTTCACTTTTGTCCACGACACCAATGCCAATGCGACCAGGGGTCTTATAATCATCGTATATAACCAATAGATCATTTTTGGCTTCAGGTCCCATGTTTTACTGAGTCTTCGGCATGTCCAGTACGCAACTGTTGCTCGATCGGTTATTCTTTTTAAATGTGAGTTCCAGGTGAGCTTTTGATCTAGGACAACGCCCAGATATATGACTTCACTTGAAAGGCCTATTTGTATTCCATCCAGTGTTGGACCTATTAAGTTGAGCTTCCTTTTCCTTGTGAATGGTACAATTATTGTCTTGCTAGGATTTACCCTTAGACCCTCTTGCAAGCACCACCTTTTAATGATGTTGAGGGCATTCTGCATGAGTTCACTAATGATCCTATCATGCTTGCCTCTAATGATGACTGCAAGGTCATCAGCATATCCTAGGACCACAAATCCATGGTCACTTAGTATGTTTAGAAGTTTATCTATTACTATGGATCATAGCAGTGGGAATAATATACTCCCTTGGGGGTACCCCTTGACTGCTAGGACCGTCGCTGAGTCGCTTCCAAAAGTTGCTTTCATTTTCCTATCCTGTACCTAGCATATGGTTTCAATCCATGTGATTGCAGTGTCCTCAAAGCCTTTGTTTTTTGCCGCCTTTCTTATGGACTCATAAGAGGTGTTATCAAATGCACCCTCTATATCAAGATCTCACCAGCTATTGAAGAAACTAACTTTGATGATACAAAGAATGAATGGAAAACGGTTCAAAGAAAGTCAAAACGGTCGAAAATTGATGTAAATCTGAGACCATCCTCTATTCATGGTTTAAATGAGAACATTTCAGAACTACAGAGGTAGCAGAAAAGATGGAGTATACCTGGTTATTCCTCTCAGGTTTTACATCCGCAACTACACCAAAGCAAATAAAAACATACCTTACAAACAATGGAATACAAGACTCCCTCTGTGATTCAATTAGAGCTAAATATGAGAAAAAATACAGTTCGTTCAAGATTGGTGTTCCTACATGCAGTGGGGTTTTTAAGTTTTTAAACTTGAGGACCATGATGTCTTGGCAGAGACAAAACAAATCCCGAAACCATTAAACAAGGTGGTGAAGAATACTGAGACCTTGCTCCACTACAACTTAACTCTTCTACACTATAACGTACGTTCACTGAGAAATAAAGCGGACAATTTAGAGGTTGCTCTGAGTGATGCAAATATTGACATGCTCTGTCTGACTGAACACGGGTTGACAGAAGAAGAACTGGCAGTCCTTGGCCTAGATGGATACAAAGTAGCTAACTTTTCTACCTGTAAAGGGGCTCGTGGAGGGGGAACAGTGATATTGCTGTAGGAATTGACTTGATTTTAGCAGTTTTATTGTTTTAAATTGTATAGAGTTTTGTATTGCTTTAGTTAAAAATATTTATATAATATGTATCTATAGACCACCTGATGGAAGCTTCGATATTTTTGTCAGGAATCTTGAAGGTATAATAAATGGCATAGGCCAGGGTAGAGATATTGTGCTGGCGGGAGACTTCAATGTTCTATTCGGCTCCAGACAGGCGGAATCCATGGCTCTGATTGACCTGTTGGGCAGCTATGGTTTTCAACAAACTATATTTGAGGCAACACGGGAGCAATCCTGCCTGGACAATGTCTTTACAAACTTTGGCCATGGCTAAGGTTATTAACTACAATCTCTCTGACCACCAAGGGCAGTTGCTACACTTTAATTCAGGGGCTGAAAGGGTTTTTATGAAAAAATCTGTATTTAGACCAATGACGGAATGTGGTCTTATGAAATTTTATAATTTTGTAGAGAGAATATCGTCGTGGGAGTTTGTAAACGACGCACACATTGATATTGAGGAGAAATTCCAGATTCTCATGGGTGCGTGCACTCGAGGAAGCCTACCTGCAATCCTTCCCAATAAAAACGTATAGTAATAGATCTGATCGACCAAATAGGGTAAGTTGGTTTGTAGACGACCTCAAATGCATGAGGCACTAACTATGTATGCTTGATGAAGTAGGTATGTAAGCAGTATAAAAGGGTGCGTGATAGGGAAGAGAATAATAGATTAAAAAAACTGTATCGTAAAAAAATCAGAGAGGCGAAGAGATTGGCCAATGACAGGGCAATCGCTTCCGCTCGCAACCCTGCCAAATGTATGTGGAAGATAATTAACACAAAACC